CTGTGGGACCTGTGGAAAAAGTTTCTCTCGAAAAGACACTTTAAATGCTCATATGAAAATTCACACAGGTGAGAAGCCTTTCTCCTGTGGGACCTGTGGAAAGAGTTTCTCTCTAAAAAGTCGTTTGCATGATCACATGAGGATTCATACGGGTGAGAAGCCTTTCTCTTGTGGAACCTGTGGAAAAAGCTTCAGGTTGAAATCACTATTATGTTTTCACATGAGGATTCATACGGGTGAGAAACCTTTCTCATGTGGGACCTGTGGAAAAAGCTTCAGGATGAAAAAATTCTTACTTCAACACATAAAGATTCATATGGTTGCGAAACAGTGACGTGTGGTGAAGTTCATAGCTGGTGAGCCACTGACTTACGATGTGTAACTTTAGACACCACGCATGTCATTGTTTACGTACATAAATTTAGCACGTGCATACAACACTGGAGGGCAAAATGTCCATTCTTTTACATGTCATCCATAGCCATGTTAACTCAGTGAAACTGACATGTACTATGATCCACAGCAATGGGAAAAACCTAATCCACTTTCTCGCTCTGTATCGGCCAAGCTACACGCAGACTCAATGCCATAGCATCTGACAACAATGCCACTTCATGTTTTATAATTTAACACCAAAAAAAAACATTGAAGAATTTTGCTCATAGAACAGCACATTCAGTTTGTTGCAATAGTTTGTTTTAGGCTTAATGTTTTATTAATAAATGATTACTGTGGTAGATTTGCTCCCGCTTCTACTTTACTGAATTCTTTAGACATGCAAACTGCAGCCCACAAAACACATATTTCATTAACTAATTTTAAAACCAGGCATTAATCAATGTTTTACCTCAGTCCTGACTGAATGAAAATCATTATAATCTGTTTGTGTGAGGTTAATGATGAACAGCTGAAAAGTTACCGGGTTTATCAACTGCCGCTCCAACTCTTTTCCTGGTCATTTCTATGGATATTCTTTGCTGAATGTTGAATAAATATTAATATTGTTTCCACATATCATCCCCGATGTCTGCTGTACTATGGGTTGCACTATGTCAGCTTCTAAATGGCCGGTTCGCTTCAGGCAGCCTGAGTCGATCCCACCGCAGTGGGTCAGAACCAGATATCCTGATATAAAGAAACGATACCGGACTGTCACCACAACGCAGCTCAAAGCCCTGGTACCACCTGCTCACTGTTCGCTCTGCTTCACCTTAACGTTACTACCAGGCGGTTTGAACCGCTGCTGGAGGTGAGCAGCTGTGAATAGAAGTTGCTGGAAGATTCGGCCCAAAGCATTTGGAGTTTACAAAACATCAAATTCTGTAAATAATAATTTGGACCACAGCAAAAGCTGATCATGCCACAATTAAATAAATCAAAATGTCCCAAAAGCATCGGTGGACTGGGAAAGAGGCTACTGGGGGATTCCAGGTAGATTCCAGCAGAGATGAAGCGTCTCTTCATGCAGGGCCGCCCCAAGGTAGCATGGGGCCTTAGAATCATGATTTGGCCCCCTGGTCCTCCTGCTAAGCACCTCAGCATCAATAACATTGTTTAAATATAGATTTAGTGAAGTCTAGTGATAGGGGGCCCAGGTTAAACGGTTGAGTTTAAAATTAATCACTGATTATTGGTTATTTGCTGTGATGTATTTGTGAACAAACCCAGTTCAAACATAAAGATTACACCATATTGTAGCCATGGTGACATGACATAAACTATCAAGATGATTCTTTAAACTTTCACAAAGTAAACTTCCAAGTTAAATCCTAAATGTGCTGTTTATTTTCCCCTGCACAATGCATTAAATAAAATTTAATTTTATTGTCATTGTCCATAAATGACTGTTGCAGGTTTAGATCTATGGTCTGTATTACAATTCAACTATTTCTAGGGCCCCTGGATGTCTGGAGGCCCCTGAATGGCCCCTACTAGCAGCTACTGAGTTTTCTTTACCTTGATATCTCAGCCTTATAATTCTAGATCTCAGATGTGCAAACATTAAAATGACATAGAGCTTTATTATCTTTGAAGCAGTCTGCAGATAAATTGTTATGACAGATATTATTAGGGTTTATTTAGTAAAATAGCAGGAAATGTTCTTAGTTCATAACTTTATAACCAGCAAACTTCTCTCTGGTCTGTTTACAGCTACAGGCTCAGATCAACACAATCCTTCAGCTTCAGCAGAAACAGCAACTTTATATCAGGGAAACAGACTAAATCTGCTTTGCATTGTCCCCACATGATGACAATGATCCAGTCTGATCTGATTAAATATTTGATTCTTGATTAATATGGGTTATTGCTATGTTGCTGTACGGTGTTTTAAGATCTTGTCAGATTTTGATTTGGAGCTAACACCAGAGAGATTTTCCCACATATTTGTTTCACAAAAGGTTTCTACATGCTCTGCATAACCAAAGATATTTTCTCACCCATCCAAATGTTCAGAATCAGGTGATCCAATCCCTTTCATGGGACAAACCAGAACCAGGTTAATGTGACACATGTTGTGAAATAGATGTTAAAGATGTTTAAGGTTTGCAGCAGGAAACCAGGTTCATAACAGTATATTGATATTTCATACAGCTGCAAAATGACTTGTTTCTTAGCAGTGAGGAGCTTCAGTTAAACACTTTTTGTTCTTTTGGGAGGCGTCACAGTGTTTCCTCTGTTATTTTTATTTCTAACATTTTCTTTGTATATTTTTAAATGAGTGATTAATAATATCTCATTCCTCAGGTAGATATGAGCAAATTAATTACTTTAATTGTCTTTGTGGCTTTAATTAAAGTTATCTGTCTTCCTACATCTCGGCTCTTCAGTGACGTTTCATGATTTCACTTCTTTCAATGGAAACAGGAACCTTTATTCACAAGACAGACAGTTATTCTCTATCTTTTCAAGTCAAAACAACATTTCACTGTTTCTATGAAATGTATTCATTTGCAGTTTAACTTTAAAACTGAATCACAACCTTCAAAACTACAACCTTGAAATGTTTGTAAAACTTTAGACTTGTTTTACAAATTAAAACGATCATACTCAAAAATGTCATATGTACCAATATGGTCCTTTTGTAAGATTAAATACCTTTTGATAACTGAATCCAAGCTCACATTTCACAACAGTTTTTTCCATTAGTCAGAATGAAGTAATATTCTAAAAATAAATGCTGTTCTTCAATTAGCTGAAGAAAATCCTCATAATTAACAGAAATAAAAGGGTTGGAAATATCCATGTGTTTGTGTAATGACTTTAATACTGTGTTTCACTCACTGAAATATATGAACCTTTTATTATTGTTGTAAAATATTTAATGTAACTGTATGTTGAGAGGAGGCTCAAAGCGGAAAATTTAAAGGGGAACTAAAAATCGTTTACAGTTTCTTCAGTACAGCCAAAGTGAAACACACGGAAAGCTACGGAGCACACGAGGTAGCGTTAGCTCCTCTTAGAAGGTAGTTTGAAAACAGGTTTGGTGTTTTAGGTAAATATTTCCGTGTTTTCAGTAAAAATGTCTTCAGTTCAGCCTCAGAGAGAGTTTATCAACGAGCAGGAAACTCCTGGTGAAGAAACATTGACCGAGTTAAATGAAATTAACATTAAGATCGAAGAAAAGATGGAGGATCAGCGCAGACTGATGGATTTTACCAGGATACCGAAGATCTTCTTACACCGGATAGGTACGAAACAACTTCACGTTTTACTGATTAGTCGGGTTAAAGAGAGTTTTAGACATAAATAATCGTTGTGTATGGAAAGCTATTTAAAGAAGACGCTCAAATTGTAAACATTAAACAGAATGATTTGTGTTAAAGACAGTCATCATGTAATATCTAAATTACAGTTTGTGATCCGTAACAGTATTATTTCTACTCAAAGTACTGTTTAAAGTTCGGTTTAAAATTAGTAGTTGTGTGTAATCAATTTGTTTTGGTTTAGCTTCCCGCTATGTCAAATTAGAATTTATACTTTGTATTAATTGTTTAAATATAAAACTAAATATAATGTTTATTAAATTAAGATTGAGAACATAAAAATTTTGGATTTTTACCATAGAATACCTTTTGCTTTTCAATTACTGACTGATTAATTAAAATGGTTTATGAAACCTTCAAGTCTGAAAACAAACTATTTTTATTTTGACATTGCCTCAAATGAGGCCTGTCTTCAAACCTATGTTTTATAGATGACTTAACCCTGAACAGAAATATTTTACACTAACAGATTATAGAAATATTGTTTTGTGGCTGGCAAAACATGGATGCTTTTTAAAATTATTTATATAAGTTTAAAAACTTTATGTTCCTTTTTTAGTAAGAAACCCAGGAGTTTTCCCAGTGTATTACAAGTCTGGCGGGCAACCAGGCTAAGCATTATTTGTTCATTATTTGTAGTTTTTTATACAACAGTAACAGTGATGGCAAAGACTGGTTAAAGAGTCTCTTTGGTGAAACTACAACGACCTGCCACATCCTAATAAAGACAACTTCACAGTAAAGCTGTGACGTTTGCCACAGCTTTAGTGGCACAGCCTGCTACGGAACCCCTCAGCGGACATGGGAAAAATGCTTTTTTGCATTTCCTCACAAAAGTTCTGCATATTATCGCAGTAAGTTTTGCGTTTCCCCGCAATAAGCAAACAGGCCCTGGTCTAAACATTACTGTCAGGTTGATTGGATGGATGAATGGATGGATTTTTGTATAAATTTTCTTCAGGTTAACTTGGAAAGTGAGCTAATATAGTTACAGGTTAATTTTCTAAACTACAAAAAGTAACTGTCAGAGAAGCTAATAAATGAAAAATTGGACTCATTGATATCCAATAATACTGGTGTTATGCCAGATTTGCTAGCATTTTATTTTATAAATATTTTATCCGATTACTCGATTAATTGTAAGAATAATCAATAGATTACTCAATTACTAATATGTTTTACAACAACCCTAATTGTATTTTTTGATTAGGTGTTTTTTAAACAAGTTAAATATCGTTTCACTGACCCCGTCTTTCCACAACAAATAATTACCCAGTAATATTTTTACTTTTCTTGTCTACTTAGTTTTAGGGCTGGGCGATATGAGGAAAATCTAATATCTCAATATACTTTTGCTATATCACAATCAAATCAAATTTTATTTGTATAGCACATTTCAGCAGCAAGGCATTTCAAAGTGCTTCACATAATTAAAATAAAAACATCATGTGACATTGAATAAACAGTGAGAGAGGGAAAAAGATTTTAAGGAAACATTAAAACGGAAACAGTGAGAAAGAGAAATAAAAAGAAATTAAAAAGTAAAGATAAAAACATTAAAGAGATAAAAAAACCATCAAGAACATCAAAGACATCAAAACCCACACTCTAACCCTAATTTAGCCATAAGCAACTCTAAACAGGTGGGTTTTAAGTTGAGATTTAAAGGCACTCAGTGTTTCAGCTGTTTTACAGTTTTCTGGAAGTTTGTTCCAAATTTGTGGTGCATAGAAACTGAATGCTGCTTCTCCTCGTTTGGTTCTGGTTCTGGGGATGCAGAGCAGATCAGAACGAGAAGATCTGAGGGGTCTAGACGGTTGGTACAGCAATAACAGATCTTTAATGTATTGTGGTGCTAAACCGTTCAGTGATTTATAAACTAGCAACAGTATTTTAAAGTCTATCCTCTGAGCTACAGGGAGCCAGTGTAGGGACTTTAAAACTGGTGTTATAATTATATTGATGCACGATATATTTTGCAATATTCTTGAATGAGCTTCAAATGTTATGTTAAACTATAGAACTATTTCTGGATTATCGACAAATTTGTGACGGACTTATCTGAACTAGCAAACACTCAGACTGTTGGTGTGGATAGAGACGCAAGTTGGATGAAAGTCTTGCTGAGACTCGCAGCTCTGCTGAGGACTCTAAAACTCATTAACGGGATGGAGTCGATCTTGGAGAAGTTACTAGTTTTGGTTCTGTGGAACGACCCAACTAATTTGGATAATTGGGAACTGTGATGTATCGGAGAAACTTTAGGGAAGATTGAAATTCATAATCTATCCGATCTAAGACATTCTGTATCTGAATTGGCTTCCCCCGTGTGGCCTTGGAAGGGCTGCATATTTCCAATCTCCTTGAAGATATGTAAACATAAAGCTGCTTCCCTCCTCACCCCCTCCTGTATCCATGGAGCTGGGGAGCTGAACGCTACCAAGGACATTCCTGGATAACATCTTATTAGACTTCTGCCGGGAGGCTGAGCAACGTGGTTTCATGGCCCTTTGACGTCACCGCCTTCACTCATGTCTTTGTTTTGTCTGAATGTTGCCATTTGCCCTAATGTGTCTGTAACAGGGCGGCCGTTTGCGGTTGGATTTTACGGTGCAGAAGATTATGAGAGGTAGAGTCGGGTGGAAACAGCAGTTGGTTTATTCTCCTCACATCATCAACACACACTCAATAACAATCATCCCTCACAGGTGAAACTACAGGCTTAAATAGTCTCAGCTGTGTTGGACCCAACTACCTCCAATTCACAGGGAGATCTCACTTAAATCTCCACCTATTTAAATAAAATACACTTTATTAAATATAAACATTTAAATTTACTTTTTATAAATATTTTATATTTTATCTTACACCAAATGAAACACCACAAAAAACCCATAAACAATTATCTCCCCACACTTTTCAATGGCCTCTCCCGGAACCTATAAATGGTGTCTGGACCCCCGGGGTTGTATTTGTCCAAACACCCTGGAGAGGACACAGAAAAGACAGGTGAGTCACTCAATATCAGCACACCTAACAGATTATGCACAAACATTTGCTCAGTTTTACCCACCAGTAGCTCATTGCTCTGAGTAACAATTATCCTCCCTCCACAGGCAACCACCTCACTTTCCAATGAGGAGCAGCTGTGCAGAGCCCAGAACAAAAGGCTACATGCTAATTACTAAAATATTCAATAAATACAATTAAAACTTCTCATGTGCAAATTATTATTTATGTGCAAATCTCTGCTTAAAGTGCAGTGCTAAATAAAGTGCTTGTTAATAAAGTGCAAAAAGTGCTTTTAAAGTGCTATACAGTGACTTAAATAAAAATAGACCCAGTAATGAAGCTCTCTTCATTACAGTGTCCTTTCCTCTTTTTTGTTTTATTTTGTTAGAATTGGAATAACAGTGAACTCGAATCCTTAACTTCAACAGTCACTACTTAGTTATTTTTATACGTCTTTTAGCTTATTTTGTTAGAAACTGTGGAGTAATGCCTATTTACATCAATATTATACAGCCCAGAAATGGAATCGGAATTAGAATAACTACAAACTTAGAATCCAGAAATACTTGACAGGTACAGTCACAACTTAGTTACTTTTACACAACTGCTTTCTAGAAACTGTGAATTACTCACTTTTACCCAGAAAAGGAATTAGATTAGTCACTCTTTAGCTTATTTTATCAAAAACTGTAGAATACTCAGTATTTAGATGCAGAGACCAGAAGCCCAGAGGAAACTTCTGGATCAAGATTATTAGACTATTTTTCAGACTCCTGTTGTCTCAACCCAGAAATGGAATTAGACGAGAGGAAACTTAGCAACCCTGAACAGGAGCTCCTAGTTTACATACTTTAGATCAATATTAGATTCACTTTCTTCTTTTGCTCTTTCCTTTGGTTTGTTTATTTTGTTTGTATTTCCTTTTAATTCATGTAAAGCACTTCAAATTGCCTTGTTGTTGAAAATGTGCTATATAAATAAAATTACCTTTTACCTTACTTATTAATAATCTCAAAATACACATCAAGTATAAAAGCATGAAACTGTAACGAACTGAATGTTCTGTTCTATGTGGGGTATTGTTTGAGTGTTTTTGGTTCTGAATCCAGATACATAAAGTTGGGTTGTTGTCAGTTGTTATGGCAATGAGTCTGCGTGTATCGTAAAACTGACAGAGAGCGAGAAAATAAAGGAATGAGCGGTTTTGAAGTATTTTTTCCATTGCATTGCTAAATGAATCATAGCTATGTCTCCAGGTTTAATTTTAACGGACCAGTTCTACCATTCACGGCTCACCTCAAACTTCCGCTGTCGCCATGTTGTTTGTATTTCTCCGGCCGCGTGATTGATAGAAAATGTCCTGGTTGGGAGGGGAGAGCCTGGGCTTTTGAACTGAGCCTGACTGAACATAACAGAGTCTTTCTCAATGTTCTGCTTGGTGTCGATATGCAGAATTAATTGGAATGCAAAGCGCCGACAGGTTTGCAATTGCAACATACGCCAAAGCATCGTTGAGGCGCATGAACCATTCGAGGTTCTTACAACTTTAACTGTTGTTGCTGCAGTAATAAAGAACAGATGTTTATGCAAATGAGGATCGGAAAGAAGACATGAAACCAAAACCAGCAACAGGGTTTAAAATACTTATTTTCTTTTTAATGTTCATTAGAAAACAAGTTGTTCTATGCATTAAATGTTTTCAGCATATGATTATGTGTAAGACTAATAATATACTAACGGCATATAACAGGATTAAATCAAGCTGCTGTTTGATCTGTTTTTGTCCTGGAGGCACGAGGTTTAATTATCACCATCTTGCTTTCTCTGCTGGAGATCCATAGTATGTTTTGACTGATTTCTAGATCCCTTCCAGTCAGACAGACTAAAGTGGTTAAGTTAATTTTTATACTTATGAATTTGTAATTTTAGTCTTTGGATCACTTGAAAAGGCTTTAAGTGATTAAAGTGAAGGAATCATTCTCTTACTCACATTTAAAAGCTTTTGTTTTGTCTCTTTGTCCAGATCTCCCACAGTGCTGGGTGTGTAAAGAGGAGGAGGTTCTGAATGAATTCAGCTACCAGGACAGGAAGTCCAGTTCATATAAAGAAGAACCAGAACATCAAGAGTTCAAAGAGGAAGAGAAGCCACTCAGCATCAGTCAGGATGAAGAGCAGATTGTGGTGAAACAGGAGACTGATGACATTTTGGTGAATCCTCCTAATGTGCAAAGAATCCACAATGAAACAGAACCACAGAGGAACCAACTCATCTCTCATGGTTCTGCTGAGGATGAGAACCAGGATCAGGAAGGAAGCAAATCTGAAGACCCAGGAAAAAAGAGAGGCGAAGAACAGAAACAAAAGGAGAATTACAAGAAAACCAAACAGCAGAAAGGCAGAACTGACACTGAAAAACAAAAAAAGCACAAGAAAGCTCACCCAGGGCAAAAATCATATTCTTGTAAAATTTGTGATAAAATCTTTTCTCAAAACGGTAACATGACGAGACACATGAGAACACACACAGGAGTAAAACCTTTTACATGTTCAACCTGTGGAAAAAGTTACAGAGAAAAGGCTGGTTTAATTTTTCACATGAGAATTCACACAGATGAGAAACCTTTTTCCTGTGGGACCTGTGGAAAACGTTTCTTCCATAAAAGTACGTTAAATATTCACATGAGAATTCACACAGGTGAGAAACCTTTCTCTTGTGGAAACTGTGGAAAGAGATACAGTGAAAGAAAGGCTTTAAATCGTCACATGAAAATTCATATGGCCCAGAAGCCTTTCTCTTGTGGGACCTGTGGAAAAAGTTTCTCTCGAAAAGACACTTTAAATAGTCATATGAAAGTTCACACAGGTGAGAAGCTTTTTTCCTGTGGAAAGAGTTACAGTGAAAGAAAGACTTTAATTCATCACATGAGAATTCACACAGGTGAGAAGCCTTTTTCATGTGGGTCCTGTGGAAAGAGTTACAGTGAAAGAAGCGCTTTAAATCGTCACATGAAAATTCACACAGGTGAGAAGCCTTTCTCTTGTGGGACCTGCGGAAAAAGTTTCTCTCGAAAAGAACATTTAAATGGTCATATAAAAGTTCATACAGGTGAGAAGCCTTTTTCCTGTGGGACCTGTGGAAAGAGTTATAGTGAAAGAAAGACTTTAATTCATCACATGAGAATTCACACAGGTGAGAAGCCTTTCTCATGTGTCAGCTGTGGAAAAAGTTTCAGGCAGAAATCACATCTACTTAATCACATGATTATTCATACAGGTGAGAGGCCTTTTTCATGTGGGACTTGTGGAAAGAGATGCACTCAAAGATGGACTTTCACTCATCACATGAGAATTCACACAGGTGAGAGGCCTTTTTCATGTGGGACCTGTGGAAAAACTTTTGCTATAAAACAAACTTTAAAGAAGCATATGATGATTCACACAGGCAAGAAGCCTTTCTTATGTGGAACTTGTGGAAAAGGTTTCAGGGTCAAAACTCATTTACTTTGTCACATGACGACACATACAGGTGAGAAGCCTTTCTCATGTGGAACTTGTGGAAAAGGTTTCAGGATCAAAACTCATTTACTTTGTCACATGACGACCCATACAGGTGAGAAGACTTTCTCTTGTGGGACTTGTGGAAAAAGTTTCTCTCGAAAAAATGCTTTAAATTGTCATATGAAAATCCACACGGGTGAGAAGCCTTTCCTGTGTGAGAATTGTGGAAAAAGTTTCAGGAGGAAATCACAACTACTTGATCACATCAGGGTTCACACGGGTGAGAACCCTTTCTCTTGTGGGACTTGTGGAAAAAGTTTCTCTCGAAAAGATGCTTTAAATAGTCATATGAAAATCCACACGGATGAGAAGCCTTTCCCGTGTGAGAATTGTGGAAAAAGTTTCAGGAGGAAATCACAACTACTTGATCACATGAGGATTCATACCGGTGAGAAACCGTTCTCATGTGGGACCTGTGGAAAGAGTTATAGGAATAGAAGTAGTTTAACTCATCACATGAAGACTCACTTAGATGAGAAGCCTTAGACCCAAAACACCTTGGAACCATTTTAGCATCCGATCCAATAGAAAATCTCGTCGAATGATGTACAGAGCAACTAGACCACCTTAATATCAACAGGGCCTTAAAGGCTGCTATGATTCCCTGTGATTGCTTTCTCTTTAGCTCTCAGCGAAAGCAGATCATTTTCTCTTTGCTCCCTTATCTATTCCTCCCCAACTTCACTTGCTCCGTTTATGTGCTGGCTTTTTAGGAGTCTCTCTTTGCACATCCTCTGAATCTACAACTAATGGATCTGGTTAACTGGTCTCTCAATAATGCAGTTAATCAAACTTTCTCAACAAAAAGACTGCACAGGAGAGCCCACTCATCCTTCAGGGACACACCTGATGGGATACATCCTGGATTTATTCAGATTCATGATGACAGGATTTCAGCTTATGGATTCCTGGAATATTGACAAGTTTGTGATGGACTTGGGCCAACTAGCAAACACTGTAGGGCAGTTGTAAACAAATATTTTAGTAATCGAGTAATCTATTGATTGTTTTTATGATTGGATTAAAAAGATTGGTATTAGAGATTTTTGTGTTATCATTTTCAGTCTAATGCTAATCAATAATTAATCAACATTCAGTCTACTGTTAATCGGTAATGACATACGGTGCTTAAACTTTTTGATTGCTGTGTCGAATATCTGTGTTCCTGAGAACTGATTGTTCCCTCCAGATTCTGCTCTCAAGGGAAAGAGCCTGATGACCTGTGTGTTAGATTGAGCTGCCATCTGTCTTGTTTATCTTTTCCGACTATTGTTTTCCCAAATAAAAGGCTCTAGAGAGAGAAGTCAGAACACTCTGTGAACAACTCAGGAGAGCACAGCCTCTCAGGGTGGTGTCTGCAAAATCATTGGCCCAGCGTGCTGTACTTTTGCTCCGGACGAAACAGGAACCGGTGGAACTATTTCTGATGCTCTATATGAACTGGAGGAGCTTAAAAATTACATGGAAAGTGGAACGCAGGGATCATCTTCCTTTGATCTTCTTTCTTTGCTCACTTCTGGACCATGGTGGAGTTTACTGCTGAAGATTGTATCACCACTTCTGACTGTATTGATTCTTTTTTGCCTGTTTACAGGCTGCATTATTCCATGCCTTCGAAGTCTGATGCTAAAGACATTTAACACTGCTGTGGTCAACTATCAGCTGGTGAAAATAACCTGACACAAATGAAGACAACTTGTTTGAAATTTGTGGTGATGAAGTTCTGTAATCAATAAACAGATGAATTCATTTGCTGAATGATTCCTACACCGAAAATGTGAAAACGAATGGTGTTGGTGATGAGAAAACTGCATTTGATTTTTTGCTGTTTCTTTTATTTTTTCATTTATTTCGTTATATTCATTTATTCATTGTGTAATTTTATGTTTAGATTAGGAAAAAAAAAAGGGAATCTTGCATTTATTAGATCTTTTCTATGCTTAGCTTTGAATAAGTTTACACGCATGGTAAAATGATAAAAAGGGGGGAATGTTAGAGATTTTTGTATTTTTGTGTTATCATTTTCAGTCTAATGCTAATCAATAATTAATCAACATTCAGTCTAATATTAATTGGTAATGACATACGGTGCTAAAACTTTTTGATTGCTGTGTTGAATATCTGTTCCTGAGAAATGATTGTTCCCTCCAGATTCTGCTCTCAAGGGAAAGAGCCTGATGGCCTGTGTGTTAGATTGAGCTGCCACCTGTCTTTTTGTTTATCTTTT